TACCGTTTATACGGCAGTTTTGATTGTCGATTATGTCTATCGATTATAACATAATTGATAAAAATCCTTTTATAATCGACAACATTTTCTGTTGATTATTCTTTGTTCTCTAGTAGTGAATCAATTGGTCATCTATATATAGTTAGTTTAATCACAGTATGGTTGAGCATTTGAAACTGTTACTAGTCAACAGTCTTGAAATCGAGAATTAAATTGTAACATACCATATAGTACGAGTCTTTCATTGCACTTTAAACAACTAGACAACCCATGTAACCTACTCTTATGGGGTATTTGGAAAGGCGCATTAGACACCTTTGCCGTGACCAAGGTAGGGGCTTCATTGCCATCCCCCATCCACCGACCGCTCTTCATTAAAAAAAAAAATAATAATAAATAAATAAAAAAGAAGTAAAAAAAGAAAAGGGCCTACTAGACAACCCACAATCAACTGAAACATGTTTGGCTAAAATAAAAACAAAAATATGTAATTTTGAAAGAGAAAAGTAACATGATATTTTTACAACAATATTATAGTTACAATATCTAATAAAAGTAAGTTTACAACAATAATTATATGGCATTAAATGATTATAATATAACATTATATAAATAGATATATGTAATATCACAGATAAATTTTTCATAGGTGAATTTTTGAATGAAGATAATTAATGATATAAAGATTCATCATGTTGTACATTTATAATATCATATGATATTTTAATTATAATATTTTTTATACTTTTAATGTCAAAAACTATCTAGGAATTGTTCGAATACCCTTAACCAATCAATACACAAGAAATTAAGAAGAGCTCTTTAACACTATTTAAATCTTTTTATTATTAACCTTGATAATGACATCCTAATTTTCCGGAATACTATTTGAAAAAGATTTTCCTCATCTCTAGCACAAGACAAACCATAACTGCAGTAGTAGTGCCTGCCATTTGTTAAGACCAGGCCCTGGGTAGCTAAATTGGACTTTTTGGCCCATGACTCTACAGGATTCCGAAATCGAAAAAGTGAGAGCACAGGAATACAGTCATACAGAGCGTGATTAAGAGTAAGGACGGTAAATCTGTACTTTACTCCCTAATTGGAGTTGGATGAAGCAAAGCAACAGAGTGCAGCGTCCATGTTTCAGAAGGTTCGTCAAAGGTTAAGTCACAATCGAATCTGATGAAATTGTCTGAGAAAGACGTTGGTTTTTTTCTTTTAAAAAAATTTAAGACCAGCAAATAATCTGGGGTTCTGAACCGATGATTACGTACCTGATGTCTGTAACGAGCAGCAGCGGCACCTCCACCGGAGATCTCGATAACGGCACCCCCACACAGTCGTACAGCTGAGCGCGTGCCCTCTGTCGGCTCTGCTCTGTATCTTGGAGCTACCGCTCCGGGGGGACTGGCTATTTTCGGACGTTAAATGCCTGTTAAGTCGCTCGCCTGCACCACAGGACAGCTAACAGCTTTCAAAGGTTTCGCATTCATGAAAATGAAATTACTCTTTTATCCGAGAGTTAACTCAAGCCTCTTTTCTCTCCCCAGTGTTCTTTTAATGAGAACCCAAATATCAGAACGTAGATGTCAGGATATTCTATCATGTAATTAGAATTGGTTGTCTTAACATTTTTCATGATAAGGCAGACAGATCAATCTTATCTGGCAGACCAACTAGTACAAGCTTTTCATGACACTTCGCAATAGACCCAGCAATGGTAGCAGCAGGTGTCTTGGAGATACTGTGTATATGATACCATTTCCATCTATGGAGTCCCGTGCACTGTTCAGTCTTAATACCAAGCAAATTTCCCAGAAAAAAAATTACCCGTCACAGAGGATGGAATATTTTCTAAATCTCCATTCCATCTCCATCCTTGCTGTAGGAATTCCCACGAAGCTCCACAGGTATTGAAGCAAATTGCCATCCCTAATACCATCCATAGAGTCCTGTGCACCGTATGGCCTGAATACCAAACAAGAATGAACTTGAACTCTTGCATGCATGCACGCACAAGAATAATATCATAGTTCAATCACTTGTTTTTTCAAATTACAATCCTTATATTCCAGGGCTAGCAATAGATTACACTGCATTTCTTGATATCACAAACTCGGTCTAAAGAGAACAGAACACAGTTGCAGAACAGAAACACACAATGGCTCATACTAGCTAATAGGGAGTAAAATTTAAGAGCTGGCTTTCAATGTGTTGGCAATGTCAATGACGAATCTGTATTTGACATCTGCTCTTGACAGGCGCTCCATGGCAGTGTTCACATAGTCAATTGGTATAACTTCAATGTCTGCAACAATGTTGTGTTTTGCAGCAAAATCTATCATCTCTTGGGTTTCCTTCATCCCTCCGATGTTACTTCCACCCACTATCTTCCTCCCTGTCATCAGCAATACATGTCAATTTCTTGCTTTAAAACAAGCATATTGATCAAAGAAACACCATTGGAAATTCTGATATTTTTTGCATTGTAGAGTGAATCAGTAGATTGATTTCAAAATATGCTTACCAAGAAGCAAAGGAAAGCTTGGTAGTTCAAGTGGCTTTGGCAGAGCACCAAGCAACACAAGCTTTCCATGAGACTTCAAGAGACCAATCAATGGAAGCAGAGGGTGTTGTGCAGATACAGTGTCTATAATACCGTCCATGGTTCCCATTGCAGCCTGTATGGCAACATATAACAGCATTAAAATCATATAGCACGTAAAATTGCATAATTATTTTTGAACCAACAACCGTTAAATAACACATTTAAAACCAAGTACCTGCAGCTCATTCTGGTCAATGCTGACCAAAAATGCATCAGCACCAAGGTTTTCAATAGCTTCCTTTTTCTTGTTAGGGGAGGTGCTAATCACTGTCACCTTTGTCCCCATAGCCTTGGCAAATCTCACCGCTACATGCCCTAGCCCACCTAGGCCAACCACACCTACATGCAAACCAGGCTTATCAAGTTCAAAGTATCTCAATGGACTATACACAGTAATCCCAGCACAGAGAAGTGGAGCAGCAGCATCAACTGGCAGGCTATCTGGAATACGGACTATAAAGTGCTCATCCGCAACCATGATATCAGAGTAACCTCCATATGTCATGGTCCCATCAAAGTACTTGGCACCATATGTAAGTATCGTTTTTGGGCAATAATTCTCAAGATTGTTATTGCAGCTGTCACAGGAGCGGCATGAACCAACCATGCACCCCACTCCCACTCTGTCTCCAACTTTAAACTTTGTTACCTTGCTTCCCACCTCTGTCACTTCACCAACAATCTCATGTCTGCATTGTGCAATTTCAGTTGTTCATATGAATGTCAGATGCAATAAATTGAATACAGGCAAAATCTACCCATTTACATTTTACACATAAAAAGCATAAACACATTCACATAGTACCTAACTGCATCTACACCACTTTTCACATTAATCAGTATACAACATATGATCATCAGCAAACCATTAACTCTCTGTGTTTTCTCTAAATCATTTTCTAAAATTATCAACAAAGAATGATTAGCGACAAGACTGAGAAATATAAGATCCCAAATAATCACAAGATTGTTATTATTATTATTTTGAAAATAGGAAATGAACCACAAACTTGTCACGTTTTTCAAGCTGTTGATGCAAACTGCCAAAAAAAGCAGGGGTAAGCTACATATTATGCTATGTTTTAAGGGATACTTACATGTTTCACATGTATGTAAAAAGTAGTTGAACAAGGAATATTTTGGTGTAAGGAGAATGTAATATCTGGATGTAGAACACAGGACTTGTGTCCAAACAGCCTTGAAAAGGGCCAGTGGCCACTGGGCCACGGGTTGCTGGAGAGTAGTTGAACAGGTTGGATCCAGAAATAACCACACAAGATTGTGTGGATAGAGGGCGTCAACCAGGCAAAATCATGTTTTCATTGTTATTTTTTATGAACTGATGTTGATTTCATGGCTTGGTTCTAATAGTGAAAGCATCCCTTCATCGTGGTCCGAATCCTACCACATCCGGAAAGCCAAAAAGCAACTTAAACTGAAAAAAAAAAAAATGGAAGCAAAAAGAGAAGGAGAAACAATATGTTTTCTATGTTTTCCACACGTGGGCCTTGAAAAGAGCAATCAAGGTTAGCAAGACCATATATTTAACCACCCAAAAAGGCAAAATTCATAGTTGCCAACTACCATATTTATAATTGAAAAATCATCCAAACTCGAAAGGTTTGGAATTTCTTTTATGACTAAAGACGGTAAAGTCTGAAATTATTGCCTTTAAATTTTTATACATTAATCTAAGTGATGTCTATTTTGTTAATAGATAAGTAATGGTATAAATTACACTAATATAAATCAATTCAAACTTTTCATTAATAAGGCAACCACCATTATAGCTCAATGGTCATAACTCTTTTGAAAAGTATAGTAGTATCTAAAAGTCTAAAGTTTAAGTCTTGACAATCCCATTCTTCATCTCCCAATTGTACTTAGTTAAAAAAAGAAAAAATCATTAATAATGTTTCTGTTTTTTTCTACTCCAAACTGATTTTTCATATTGGCATAAGAGAAAGTAAGACTTCAAAATCAGACCTAATTTGTGTGCAAAAGAAAGGTTAAAAGCTAAATCTTTTTTTTTTCTTTTTTTTTTATTTTTATGAAAAATGCTACACCTATTTTATGGCAAGAAACAATATTAGTTTGGTCCCAAAACCAACAAAATAATAGAAGTATGACAAATTTAAAAACTTTTTAAGTTTGATTTACATGCAAAAGACTAAAACATTTTCTAGAAATTTTTTCTTAAATTCCCAAGAGAACCATTCCAGAACGAGTGATTCATAAGCAAGCTAAGAAACATGGTCAATCATAATATACTAATGTAGAGAAAAGGAAAAATACCCAGGTATGATAGGGTATACTGTTATGCCCCATTCATTTTTCACCATGTGAAGATCAGAGTGGCAAATCCCACAATACAGAACCTTGAAAGCGACGTCCTTGTCTCCAGTTGCCCTGAAAAAATGCATTGTTTTGCCCCCCAAACAAACACCATCGGCACACACAAAATCAGGATTTTAGAAATCCAAGAATTTATTCCACAGAAAATGCAGCATTTCTATACAAACATCTAACAAATATGGTAGAGAGAGACGAACCTTCGGGAGAAATTGAAGGGAGAGAGAACGCCAGAAGTGTCTGTGGCCGCCCATCCGAAAGCCTTCCTGGGGTGCTGGTCTGCCGGTGACTGACCGCCCATTGTGTTGATTGGGTGTCAGCGTACAAACTACGCAAGGAGAAGCAGAAGTAGAAGCGAAAGCAGTAAATGTGCAGCAGAGAAAGTTGGGTGGGGTGTAAATAGAGGACAGGCGACGTGGGTTTGGAGAGTTAAGTGGGCGGGACAGTGATGGCAAAACGGGCTGGGTGACGTAGGGAATGACCTAGGGTGGGGGAATTGGATTCACAGCGCCGCATGGTTGGGTAGAATGTCATTTTATAATAAAAGTATTAAAGTATGGGTTAAAGCCAACTATAGTCTTCATACTTTGTAAAAATGTCTATTACCGTCTCTCTTCTAAAGAAATATTCAATGTCATCCTTCTACTTTTCTTACACCATAAATGTCATCATTCCACTATAGTTTTTTTATTCAATGCCATCCATTTTGCTATTAACTTTGACCATCAATGCCTAATAGTCAAATATTCAACTTTTGTTTATGGATTTTTCTAAAAGTACATGTTAATGATATTTTTTTTACAATAAATTTATATAAAAAAATATAAAAGTAAACATTAATTCTAGTGTCATTGTCATGTGAATAAATTTAATTAGACAGTT